CCTAAGTATTTATAAGCAAGTGTTTCTTTGTTTGCTTTTTTTTTAAAAATGTAAAACAATGCATTAATGGCTTTTTTTAGGCTCCTATGTTCTCCTTATATACAGGATTGCTTGAACATAGTGACCTCTGGGAGCTATGCAGATAAAAAGTTATGAACATATTAGAGAAACAAATAATATTTTAATTAAAATGGAAAAATACTCCAGGCAGTAATGCTTAAATGCTGAGAGCAATATAGTGCTGGAATCAAAATGATGAATGTTTAATAATTTGGGTGGGATGTGATGTTACCTACGGGGCTAAAGGACCATTCCTTACAAGTGCATCAGCTGCATTAGGGCTTCTGTTGACTCAGCAACAATCCAAATATTTATTTTCATGTGTGTTTGTGGGTATTTGTAGTATCCTGGAGTAAATTTAATCTCTGTGTTAGTCTAGAGCCAGCTAGTCTATAGACACTGTGTCTATCACATGGTCCTTGCTTTGTGCCATATGGTAGAGCTCACGTGAGGGTTGGAGTATGTTTGCAGTTTAAGATTCACATTAGTCCTGTGTGTTTTGCTTTATTATATGGTTTGTAATTCAAAGCTTTAAAGGAGGAGTATCTTCCCGCTTGGTCCCCATGTGTTGCCTGGTCTAGTCGAGAGGTGGTGGCGGCCCTGCCCATGACAGGGAGGTTGGACTAGATGATCTCTAAGGTCCCTCCCAGCCTAGGCCATTCTATGATTCTTCCTTAAGCTATGAGCACAGCCTGAAAATCTGCTGTGGCGGAAGGAGGTAGGGAACAGAGGACTATTGATGTTTCACCCTGATTTAAGGTTGGAGTCTTTCAGCTATGTGCTGTGTCTTCTCCAATTTTAAACTTAGCTTATTCAGTTTTGTTCTTTGTGTGAAAGATACTGTTTGATATTTCTAGGTGCATCTTTAAGGAGGAACATCTTTAAGAAAGCTTTGTTTAAAAAAGCTTTGAGAGGTAGTAGCAGGTTTGTTATTTACAAATGAAGTGTTTGTACTGGCTTGTGCATTAAGACAAGAGGAAGTGGCCTCAAGTTGCTCCAGGGGAGGTTTAGATTGGATATTAGGAAAAAATTATTCACTGAAAGGGTTGTCAAGCATTGGAACAGGCTGCCCCGGGAAGTGGTTGAGTCCCCACCCATGGAGGTATTTACAGGACCTGTAGGTGTGGAGCTTAGGGACATGGTTTAGTGGTAGACCTGGCACTGATTGGTTAATGGTTGGACTCGATCTTAAAGGTGTTTCCCAACCAAAACAATTCTACAATTATAGTTCTCTGAATAAGCATATCTTAGCTTTTGATATGCACATGTAATTATGATAATGGTAGAATTTACAAATAATTTCAAGTCCTCCGTTTTGCTTCGAAGCCAATGAGAAATGTAGAAGGCGATGACTGTTGCTTTCTGCTACTTGCAGACAATGAAAAAGCAGGTCGACGGCTCCATCTACTGGAGTTCCAAACCACCAGCAAGAGCTGCACTTCGTTGAATGTACTGCAGCATCTGCGCCCTTCTAAGTAGTCTCTCTCCAGCTCTCCTGTAGCCCCCTTTAAATAGTGGAAGGCCACTATAAGATCCCCCCGAGAGCCTTCTCTTCTCCAGGCTGAACAGACCCAACTCCCTCAGCCTGTCCTCACAGGAGAGGTGCTCCAGCCTCCTGATCATCTTTGTGGTCTCCTCTGGTCTCGCTCCAACAGGTCCCTGTTCTTGTGTTGGGGGCTCCAGAGCTGGACACAGCACTCCAGGTGAGGACTAACCAGAGGAGAGGGGTGGAATAAACTTCAAATATGAAGAAAAGAAAAAAAGCCCTCTATTTCCTCTGGCAGTTAAATACATGACTTTAAGATATTTCTGAGATTAATTTGCATTCTGCAACATCTTGTTTGGCAGTGTAGGATCGGAATTGTTGTCCAGTTTAAATTTCAAAACTTGTTTGGAATGGCATAGTATCATTGCAAAGGTGTCTTTCTCTGTTGCTTTCTTTTTCCTTTGTTGCAGCTTTTAAGAATGATGTCAGTAGGGATGTTAGATACAGAAAATAAATAGTTTCTTAGAGAATATATAGCTGAAGTGAATTTTACTCTGGAAGGGTTACTGCTATAAAATTGTAAGCACAAGTAATTGTGTTAAATGCAGGGACTGAAAGAAGACATCTCATGTTTCTCTCATAATAGGACATATATAGCAGCTCATAAGTCCTCTGCAATAAGCAACCAAATTAATGAGAGACCTTATTTCATTAATATCCGAGGATGTTAATATCTTAAAATACATGTTTTCTTCCTGTGTTTCAAGTAGAATTGTCACTTTAACTCAGTCCTAAACTTTGACATTTTTACACTGCAAAATGTCTTGTGTGTGTATAGATTTATAAATAAATGATATATGCAAATAATATTAATATTTACCATACTCAAAGTATTCGAACTGTATATACGTCTAAGCATTCATATATACATAGATCTGTACATGGATGTGTGTATTTTAAGAAAGGTCTTCAGATGGCAATTTTAGGCCTAGAAAGAACAGTGTGTTATTCCTTGCGTCTTAAAGGCACTGACTGAATAAATGCCATTTTGTTATCTGTGGTTAGAGCAATATATTCTATTAAAAAGTTGTTGCTACCTGGAAAGCTAAGGCTATGTATATTCATAGGCTAGTTATTAGGAATAATCTCTATTATTATTTAGACGTAGCCTTTATATTACCAGTGAATCTTAGAATATGTGCTTTTTGCTCAGTTTCTGGCTTTCTTCATGTTTTGGCTCAGAGAATTTAATAATTATAAGCCAAGATGGTTTGTTCTAAAGTGAACTGACAATTAAGGTGTGAGCAGGAGAGAGAATTATAGGAGTAAATGTTTTTTGTCTAAGCATAAAATGCCTATGGCAATTTCATATTTTTTAAAAAGTATTTTGGTCATTTACTGCAGTTGTAAAACTGCATTCTAAAGTCTTTTTTGAGTGGTTATGGTATCTCCTTAAAATACAAGGAAGAAACCTCCCAACCTCTAAATAATCTTATGTTTACGTGCATATCCATACATATCAGTATACCTGAAACTGCATTCACAACAGAAAAAAAAGCCAACACAATAGGTCTGGAAGTGGTTGAAGAACTGAGAGAGTGGCGAGAGTTGCATGTGGCTTTCCAAATCCCGCTCTCAGCAGGATGGTTTGTGCACGGCCGAACAAGCTGCTACAGCCTAAGCCCCTATGTAAGTTCTCAAGGTGTCAGCTTCTCTGTGCTGTTGCCTCTGCTCTTGCTCTTCCAGTGGTGTAAATGCAAACTACCTTAGGTGGCAGGGAAATGGAACAGCTGGCTGTGCATCAGCTCATTGGGTGGGAGTAAAGCTCTTCTGATAACCTGGGTATGTATCTGTGCCGGCACCATCGGTTCCATCTGATTCAAACTGAACTTGAGCTTGGGTTTCATTCGCAAGGTGTATGTATAGTCCAAGTCGGGTTTACCTTGTAAACGGAGATCACTGGTGACTTCTAGGAATTGGTGGCCATTCCCAAGCTGTTTCCCTCATCTTAACCTACAAAATTGCTTATTAATTCCTGGTGCTTGTGAATATTGTGTCTGCTTGACAGTGCATATTCTGACTGGAGCTGTACTAGCTTTCTTTAAAAAAAAAATTATTAATGCAGAAAGTACTGTCTAACATCTAGTCAGAAATAGTCTCTGAACTAACTCACTGTAATATTACAAATATGTAGTTTTATTACTCCTTAAATATTCTGCTTCCATTTTTATTTATATATGTGTGTGTTTATATATACATACTGTATACATATGTATTGTTCATGCAGAACTGTTATAGCCGCATAATGCGTATTAAGTTACTCATTAGATGAATGATTTTGGTTTTGCACCTGACATAAAAACATTATTTAGATAAATCACCTGATTTTGATTCCTATGTGCTGAGAGCACTTGCAACTCATGAAATTACACTCGGGCATTGTACCTGCACCTTCTCGTGTTCTTATGATTACGTATCACATGTTTTTATTGCTCCCTCTGTGGTCGTGTCCCTCACAGCAGTCGTTTATTATAATGAGAACAAAAAGGAGATAGAACTCGTGCATATTTCATAAAGATTAATTTTCTTCTAGTGCCTCTGCTGAGCTGATCAAAATAAGTTGTTATTGCTTAAATATTTATAAAAAATGCTAAAAAATGCTGAGTGTCTGTGTGTGAAACTTTTCACTAATTTCAAAAAGCAGCAAAAATAGCAAATTATAAGCAAGCTGGATACAAAAGAATTTCACAAAAGTGTTCAAAGGAAGTATTAAAGGTCAAATCTAGAAACATGATCCTGTATTTTGACAGTAAGCTCCTAGAACTTAGCTCCTCAAGAAGAATTTCTGGTGGCGCATATTTTAGCTTGACTGCAATCTTCTCTGCTGCAAGGTGATATATCCAACTGAAAGTTCAGTTAAGATTTGAAAATTTAGATTCTTGCAAAAATCTGGGTATTGAGGAACACAAAATAATGTTAATGTTCTACTCAGATAATGAAAAATCAAGTCTCTTCTAAGAGAGCTTACCGTTTAGAAGACTTGTTGCAAAAACATACAAAACCAAGGACATTTGGGCGATAAATTTATCTTTGGCATGTAGATTTTATACTGTTACTCAAAGTGATCTGCATTGTATGATATATCATATGTAATATTATATCTCTGTTCTGTAGAATGTTTTTAGCCACATCTTTACTCAGCAGCTGAGTTTTCAGCATGGCCTATTGAACATCACTTTGAAATTCTGGAAGTCTTCAGTAAAAGCACATGCAGCAGCTTGCAGCTGTACATAAAATTGATGCTGAAGTCACATGTATTTAGGCTAACTTAAAGCCTGTTCAAATGGACTTTGAGACTGAATCATTTACTTCTTTTTTCTTTTTCTTTTTTTTCTTTTTTTTTTTTGCAGATTAGTTTACTGGCTGACAAGAGCCACGGACACTTTGTGCCCTGATGGGGGACTCAGGATCCAGACGATCAACACTAGTATCTCGGTTGCCAATATTCAGGAGAAGTATTAGCCGGAGGCACGACTCTCTTCCTTCCTCACCTTCTTCTGGTAATGGCATTGGTGTCCACACCTCCTCCCCAACCAGCACTAACTCCAGCTCAGGGAGCACAGGCAAGCGCCGGAGTATTTTTCGCACTCCTTCCATCAGCTTCCATAACAAGAAAGGGAGTGAGCAGAAGTCTGACTCAGCTAGCCAAACCGTCAACATCTCCAATGGTGCCCAGTCCTCTCTCAGCACTTTTCAAAAACTGAGCTTAGAGGAACACATTAAAAGCAGAGGAAGGCATTCAGTTAGCTTTGGTGGCTCGCGTAGCAAGAAGATTACAAGGTCTTTGACAGACGATTTTGAAAAGGGAAAGGAGCCCTCGGCTAATAAGAATGTCTTTATAAATTGCATAAGCTCTGGGAAGAATGAGGGTGATGATTCAGGCTTTGCAGAGGAGCAGAGCCGATGCTCTGTCAAACAGTCCACGCGAAAACTTCTTCCTAAATCTTTTTCGTCGCACTACAAATTTTCCAAACCGGTTCCAGAGAGTCAGTCGGTTTCTTCTGTGCAGCAGTCCGGCTGCTCTCTGGAGGTTAGATCGTACGTGGAAAGTGAACCTGTGATCACTAAGTCCTCTCCTCTGTGTTCAGCCGAGACGACGGAGTGCGTGGGAAGCTCTTTGCCATCCCCCCTGCTCTCGGCTGACCTCACGGCTGCCCAGACCCCCTCCGACTTTGTCGCCCTGACGGAGGATTCTGTTTCGGAGGTTGATACTCTGCCCAGCAGTGGGACTGGGGCGCCACTCACAGAGGATTTTGGCCACAATGTCTCTACCTCTCAGATCTTCTTTAATCCTGCTGCTGCTCCTTCAAGGAAAATGGATTTTGTAGAAAGTACTGGCTATTCTGCTGTTGTATCTCCTGCGAGTCATGCAAGCTTGTGTAGCCTTGAACCTAATACCTTATTCAAAACCTCAGCTGCTAATCAAACGAAAGTATTGTTGCAAGGCAATGAACTACATATTAACGATGCCAGTCACACAGGAGAAATTAACTCCACAAATGTGCTTTTAGAAACCTTTGTGTTACAGCATAGAGAAGAACCAGTGATACCATCCCCAAAGGTACAGGGGTTGAGGGAGGAGGGAGATGAAAGCACGCCATCCCAGCACACAAGAGAGAGAATTCCTGGAATCGAATCCAAGATTGTTCCATGTTCTCAACCTCAGTCATTTAAAACACAACAGGGTTATGAAACAAACTGTTCTAAAGGTATGTCTCATGGTCTTTTTGTTGTTGGTCCTGGTGGGAGTTTTCTTGGGCTCAGTTCTCCTGTAAGAATTGCTTGGTTTTCATGGCATTGCAAGTGCTTGCTATAAAGTTCAAAAGTTATAAATCGTGTCCTCTGAAAATTATGGGAATTAAACAAGAAATCTATGATTTCTGGAGTTTGTGTTTTACAGTTTGCTAACGCCCATCAGTGTGCTGTTCATAGCTATGCTTTCCTGAGGTAGAAAATAAATTAAGGAAGGGTATTGGTTGTTACTTCTTGTTGAAGGCTGAAGCTGGGATTTCTAAGGCATGCCTATTTTAGACATGAGCCAAAAGTTGCATGGTTTGAGATGGCAATATTGCCGGAGAAATAAAAGGTGTTGTTTTTCATAAGCAGACTAAAAGAACATTTATCTTATATTGATCTGTGTTTCAGAATTTTCTGACTCTTGGTTGCTTTATTCGACTGATGTAATAGAGTAGCTTGGAGTGGCTGTTTCTGTGGCAGAGTATGAGAGCTCTTATTTTTGCTTCCATGTGAAATAACATTGTGCAAGTTCTCATTACCCAATCTATGGAATAGAGAGAGTTAATTAACATCTTAATGTTATACTGCATCTTTAGCTTATGTGAAAAGGAATTTGGAAGTATTAACAAGATTAAGTGGAAAGGCTGTGCCTAGAAATCCCAGTTTATAGAGATATAGATGAATAAAAACATCAGGCCCTTGAGTGAAGGACACCTGTCATAAGACACTTATCTCTGACAGTCTATTTTCTCAAACCAGTCTAAAGACTGGTGCTTTCTTGCATAATCCTGAAGCTGTATCTGGTGGGCCAAAATTTGTGAAAATTAACAAGACTGCATTTATAGTCTTTGTATTAGAAGAAGAATGGGTGTAAACTCATATGAATTCATACTCATCTTTTTCCTTGGACATTTATCTAGGCATGTAGATTATAAACAATCTTGATTTTGAATTATTTGTTGCTGCAAGATGTGGTTGGGTATCTTGTACATAAATGACAGTATGAAGTCAAATTAATCCACTAAATTAGCTTTCACCAGAAGATTACCTCTTTTCCCTCAGAACCTTAATCACTTTGGAGAAAAAATATTTGCATTTATGCATGCTACTGGTCCTGAGCACTCAGTTTGTCTTCCTTGTAGCATTGGCTCATCTGCGAATGATCTCATTCTTTTCAATATGACTTACTAGAGTGTACTGCAGAATAGCGAGCGAGGAGCTCACAGTGATGTTTAGAAATACACAGTGCATTTGAAACTCATGCATCAACAGCTGTATGTTTAATCTTCATTTCTGGAAGGCAGCTAACTGGAATTGAAACTGTGATAAAGGGCTTTTTGTAAACAGGATTCATGTTTACAGAAACACTAGAGCTAATACTGTACTATATAAAAATCAATGACTAATTGTTTAAGTTTTATAGTGCTGTTTAAAAAGAAATATTTTTTTTATTTATGTGGTGAAGAATGCATTCAAAATTAGAAACTGGCCAAGCATATAATGGACCATTGGAAAAAAAAGTAAAATCATGCCATATGAAATGAAACAAATATACAAAAAGTTTACATGGCATTCAGTAAGATATGTCTATAAGTAGTTGTATCTGTTACAAACTGATTTGAACATTTGGTTTTGCCAAAGCAATGTTTAGAACCAGATGTAAATGCAAAATATTTCTGTTCTTTTTCTTTCATAATAGACATTTTCTCTTCCATAGCTGGTTTTATAGCTGATATCATTATAGATAGCATTGTGAACATGACATTAATGTATGAGCAGGTTTTGTGTGCTATATATTTCTTAGTATATCTTTATATATTTTTATGTGTTACAACTTTTTTTGAAAAGCCCTAGAGAAAATATTCGTTCTCTCTCAAAGGCACAAGGTGATAAGATTTTCTGTGTTACATTTGTTATACTCTCTTACTTTTCCCATTCCCCATCTCTGAATTTGCCCTATGTCCTGGTTCAAGCCGACTGGGACAAAAAACCCAACATGGTCTCCAGCTCACTCCTCTTCCCACCCCCATGTCCATAGTGATATGGAAAGGAGACTTTTCAACTAGAAAGGCTCAGGGTTTGAGATTAAGGATAGGAAGGGTAATAATCTACCATTTAAGATGACGGGTAAAGAACCAGAGCGACTTGGGGAGAAAAACAGATTTAATCACCACCACCATTTACAAAGTAGGATTGTGAGTGGAATACATCAATAAATACAACCTGATCTTGAATACACTTCGTTGCCTCCTGCACCCCTCCTATTTTCCTGGCTACCTCCTCTCCCCATCAGTGCAAGGGGGGTGGGGGATGCAGTCCATCTGGCCATTTCTCATTGTCTGTGGCAGCTCCTCCTTGAGAAAGAGGGCTCCTTGCAGTCTCTCCTTCCTGCTGCGTGGTGTCCACATCACAGGAGGAAATCTTCTTCCTCCTTGTGAGTCCCTCGGGGCCACGGATCGCTTTGGGCATGTCCCCCGCAGATGCTCAGTCTCTCACCCCTCTCGCATGGGACTCTGCATGTACCAACGCATCCTGGAAGTTCTCACTGCTGTTGATTCCCTCAACTAGCAGGCAATCACCTTCCTGCCATCTCAACCACCATGGGGCCCTAGGGAGAAGTCCTACTCCGGCAGCCTTCTCCCTCTCCTTCTCCTCTGGGACTCTTCTGCCCCTCTTTCTTCTCAAGACAACATTCCTTTGTTCTCCTCTCACCTGCCCCTCCTCCAAAAACTCCCCAACATTAAAGACAGGACAGCTCAAAACAAGACAAAACCAGAAGAGAGAGAGAGAACTTTCGAGTCACCTCTTAAATACCTCAATGTCAGAGGCGCTGATGGACCTGGCCCTGGCCAGAGGCAGGTCCAGCCTCCTACCTGGGGGTAGGGGAGGCTCTTGAATCTTTGCATGAGCCTACTCCCACTTTTACAAAAACCCCCACAAAACTCAACCCCATAACACCCTAACACCTCAAAATGTAATTTTATCCTCTTCTCTCATGTGTTATTGTTTAACTTGTGTTGGGGACTGGGATTCAGCCTGCTGGCTGCAGGCTGGGTTTGGAGGGTGCTGGTGCAGAGCTGAGCTAGTAAGACCAAACAGAAACCAAAACCAGTGTTTTCACTGCACAGGATGGGATGCATAGAGCTATGACCTGGCTCTGCAAAACCTGGACTTGCCTCTAGGACATAGGGTAAGTAAGGCAGGTTGGGTTTTGGCACCAGTGGATCAATGATAGTTTCTTTGGAAGTGTCCTAGAACAAGATGGGAAAGGAAAAGATGGAGAAAATGACCTTCTGGATTCTGTAAAGAACTGTGGACTAGGCTATAATGTGCTTGTTACTGGGGGCTGAAAAGTGAACTGGTAGCCCAGGTGATGACCCTTTTTTCTAAGTAAGAAGGATCTACTTTCTATAGAACACCTCTTATGTGATTGCCCTTCAGTGTAAGCATGTTGTGCAAAGTAGTGTTCAAAATTAATAAAATAGTTGTAGAAAATAATTCTTCATAATGATTACTGAACGCTTCTCTATTTGTAGTTGATCTTGCCAATAGCCTCAGTCCGTATCGCGAAGGCAGATTTGTTGAGAAACGACTGAGATCCTCTTCAGAAGGTACTGCTGGAGGCAGTCGGCTGATCATAAAACCAAAGGATGGAAATGCAGAAGAGCTTAGCAGCCTACGGAAGCAGAGAGCAAGCTCATCCTCCTCAAAAATGAACAGCATGGTGAGTATTATTCCCATATGCCTAAGTTTTTGGTTTTCTGTGATTGGTGACACTATAATGACAAGCAGCAATTTTGCAAGTAATGGGTGTTAATAAAGGGGGGTGGAGGAAGCTGTCTCAGGCTTCCAAAATGTAATTCAGGCTCAGCTACAGATGTTAAAAGTATTATTTCAGGGTATGATTTGCAAAGATTTACATACTTTTTATGGAGAGATTCTTGTCATCATGCTTTGCTGATTTGTCTGGAAGAAAAAATATTGGGAGAGTTTAAATACAGTGGGCTACACTGTGGCGACATTTTATTGTTACTATGTTCGTTATTTCATGGACTTATGTCTGGTATGAGTGAGATGAGATTCAGATCACAAGGTGCATAGAGAGGAAATTGTCTGTAGGGAGGCTCATTTGAAATGTCTGAGAGGTCCTTTTCAAAACTGGTGGTGAGTTTGAGTGCTTTAACTCTGAGCACAAGGTAAGGAGGAGAGGAAAGGATGTCTTCTGAGAATCTTTGAGGGTCCTGAGGACTGGAAAAGCTAAGACTGGATAACTGCAGGAGACTACTTTTGAAACCTCTTATAGTGAAACAGTAGTAGAAGAAATTGACTGACTGACAAGTTTGTGCTCCCTATAGCAACTGAGAATAAACTTTTATGTTTATAAACATAACATATAAACAAAGGCAACTGGCTTGGCTGCAGGCATGTTCTGCAGCGGAGCAGGTGATTGTGGTGAACACCAGAGTTGCCTGAGCTGATGAAACCCCAGTGGTGTGCAGAGACCTCCCAGGAGCCAGCAGTGCAAAGAGAGGATACACCTTTGAAGGAGGTTCCAGTGGCTGAGTGGAGAGGTTTGCCAGCAACTGGGCACCTGCATCATCTAACCCAGCAATGGGTGATGCCTTCGCCCAGAGAGAGCTGCTGAAGGGAGAGGCTGCAGCGCAGACCTCATACTGCTGGAATTGCCTGAGCCTTTCTCCTGGGGCAGCGACAGGCAGCAGAGCTGCCTGAAGGGGGTGTGTAGTGGAAGGACCTCCAGCAGCAGGTGGCTGAGCTGCAGGAGTCAGTGAGAATGCTGTGTAACATTAGGGAGGCTGAGGAGTTAGATTGCTGGTTCCAAGTGTGGTCTGCAGTGGGTCTATGCCAAACAGCCAAAAGCTCCCCCACCCAGAAGGGAGGGGACTGATAATGCAGAGTGGAAGCTTGCAATGGCAAGGACTAGCAAGAGGAAGAGACTTTGCCTGAAGCCTGGGGTGGGTGCCCTTGCAGAACCGCTTTGCTACTCTGCAGACTGCAGAGGAATGACCCATCACATCGGGGGAGATGCTCTAACTGAGCACAGCAGCCCAATCCACTCCCTGTATGGCAACCAGCACAACTAAGAAAAGGCGATGGGTGACAGGAGCAGGTGACTCCCTTTGGAGAGGTATAGAGGTGCCCATCTGCTGACCTGATGCATTCTCTGGAGAGATGTGCTGATTACCAGGGGCTCATGAGGGATGTCACTGAGAGAACACCAAGCCTTGTGCTGACTGTTACCAGCTGCTGTTGTCTCACATGGGCACCAGTGATACAGCCAGGAGTAGTGTGAGGAGTACCAAGAGGGATTACAGAGCCCTATGAGTGGTCACAAGAGAGTCTGGAGCACAGGTAGTTTTTCATCAGTCCTCTTGGTCAGAGGGAAGGGGTTTGAAAGGGCCAGCAGTAGATGCCCAGAGCCTGGAGGGGGATCCCAGGTCAGCAGGAGAGCACCTGAAGAGAATCATACAGTTACAGAATGCGTTGGGCTGGAAGCACAAAGGAAATCCAGCCAGTGAGTCAGCTTTATCGGGGCCTGACTTAAATGTTTCCTTGCTGGTCATTTAAAGATAGGTCCCCAGAGAAGGATCTCATTTAGTGTGAAAGCCCCTTACAGAAACTGTGGTGGGAAATTTGAGTTTGGAGGTTTCTCAAGAAGATGTGAAATCAGTTTTTTGTCTTGATAAATCTCACCCACGAGTCTGAATGTATCATCTAGATGTTCCTTTGTGGTTGGGCTCGCAAATGCCGCTGTGAATGGCAAAAGAAAATCAGTACCAAGCACATTCTTAGTACCTATGGCAGATGTGCGACAGATTTTCCTCTGTACCAGTGTACTGAAGCAATGGTCACTAAAAAACCCCAACTCATTTGAAGTTATTTGATGTATTTTACAGAAATGCTTGCCTGTACACTCACTTTGTGTGACTAGGGCAAATCAAATTACCTACACTTTAGTGTCAGGATTATTCTCTTATTAGAAGTATCAGATTGTGCAGATTTATCACTGATTAATTTTATACTACCTGAAAGGGCAAGCAAATTAATTTTAGGGAGGAAAAGATTTTATACATCTGCCTTTCTTATTTCTAGGTGGTTGCCAACTTGTCAGATGAAGTAGTACAGTAATGCAAAATTTATTTCAACAAAAAAAACCCTCGATTTTTTTTTTTCTGTTTTTTTCCATCCACTGGATTATTACACCAGGAGATGCAACATAGAACTAAAGAGTAGAATCGCTAAATAGTAGAAGAAACTTTTGTGCTATTAAACCATATAGTTAGTGTGTTTCTGTGTTTTAGCAGGAAGTTCACATCCAAATATCAGTGAATATTATTATTTTTCAAACCCAGAAAGAACATGCTGATATTTAAAGATGCTGTTTCATAGGCATATAGAGCATTACACAGGTGTAGTTCCTGCCCTAAAAATCTGACTAACCCTGGCTCAAGTATGCAAACCCTATTTGGGTTGTTACGCCCAAGGTATTGGGCAGATCTCTGTGCTCGTTTAATCCTAGACTGGACTGATGCCATAGTTCTTCATTCCATTTAGCCCTCTATTAATGGTGGGACTGGGTATGTGACAACACAGTAACAATGGGAAGAAGCAATGTGTGCTTGGGGTTAGGTGGTGATTTGAGTCTCTTCTTCATGTTTTGTATGTGAAATCCACATGATATTTTTTCTTTCCCTCGCTTCCATTAGCAACTTTGTCCACAGACTCATAAGTACTTGCTCATGCTTGTTTGTGTTACAGTCACAGACAAAGAACTTTTATGTTAAGGTTGCTGTGCATACTCATAAGTGAAGGTAAAATTATCCCTGCTTTTCCCAATACATATGGATATGGTCTTCCTGTGCTCAGAAGAATGCTAGCTGAAAGCTTGTTTAGTAAAAAGTGAGGTTCGAGTAGTAAAACAAACAAAATGAAAACCAGCACCACCCGTTGCTGCTCTGCCCCTCAAACAACCAGAAGGCAAAAGAATAACAGAGTTCCCTGGAAGGAAAAGGAATTAAAAATTGAAGAAATGGAATTCTTATAGTAATACATATCTGAACAGTGAAAAGGCACCTTCAAAATGATTGTCAAGGACACTTAGCGTTTAACGCTGCAGTGGCAGATTGTTACCAGTGAATTAAGAGTAAATATGACTTAAAGAATTGGAGTTACTAAATGAAGTATTATTAAAATCCTTAATCCGACTTGCTTGTCTGCCTAGAAAAACACTAGTCACTCTTCTGTGCCTATGCGTATTCATTTCATTCAAATCTGGGAGAAAGCGAACTGCAGGCATTTAAGGGAGGGGGCAAGTTTGGGGGGGGTTGCCGAGGGCAGCATTGGCACGAGTTCCCTCTGCAGCACCCAGACAGTGGCAGCAGCAGCAGATGCTGATTTTCTGGCAGCATCCAGACATCGTGTTAGATGACGAAGCTTTGTAGTGTGGAAAATACTCTTTCCTCACAAACTGAAGAAAGTCCTCGAAGGACCCTGTTTGCTTCCTTTTTCTTGCTGGCAGGCAGCATGGGCTGTTTCTGCTGAGCGGCTGTGGGAGTGAGAAGCCAGATGAACTAAGGAGATGTTAGTTCTTCACAGGAGATGAGAAGAAGGAAAACAGATTAGCCTCTGAAAAACTGTTCTTCCTCCTAAACAACTTGCTCAGCAGAGTACTCTTGCATGATTGGCAGCACTCTTTTTGAAGGCAATAGGTAAAAGCTTGGATGGGCAGATCTAATAAATGCCGACAATATGTATCAAAGCTACAAAGCTGGTTGCCACCTTCTCCAGGAATGACATAAACCACTTTCAGCATCTCACAAATGAGTTAATAATCTGGACAAGAGCAATGCTACTCATAAATGAGATTTAGGGACATACAGTCTTTCAAAGTTACTCTGCAGATGTGCCGATTTGATTGTAATGTAAATAATGAACTGAAACAGGTGCTTGAGATTAACTGCTTAGTTTATTAATAGTGTTTTTCATCAGAATAGTTTTGACGTTGTCATTCTTGCAGTGACCGATTTGTGCCACAAGATGCCACCACTTCACTAAAAATGGTTTTAGACTTCAGTATTCCACAATTAAACGAAACGTGAAAACTGCAATTCTGGACCTGTTTTTGGAACAGTTTAATGTTGATTAGCCTATGTAGTAAAACAGACCCTTTTCGAATGAACGTGGTTGATACTGATGCAATTCAAAGATATTCATATTGCTATAGAAACTCTGGTCATTCAAATGTTCCAACTGTGAAGTCATCATTTGCAACTTTAAATATTTAGACATAAGACATAGAATAGTTAACTATGTCTCAGAAGATTGATGAAGGCCGAGTGACCTCTCTATTCTCCAGCTAGGTGGTTCTTCTTTTCTGATGTTTGAGAGAGGCAAAAAGAAACAAAGAAAAATGCAAAGCAACATGGTAAAAGACCCGAATGACCTGGACTATGCAGCCCTGTAAGACCAAAGAAAGGAGCATAAACCTAGGTGGCCAAAACGTAGGAGAAAGTTAGGACCATACTGAAAAAAATAGGATCGGACCCTGAAATTACTGTAGATTTCTCAAGAGGATTAGGAGACAGAACAGCAGGATATGCAACAGTTTTTAGACTTAGCAGTAGAAATTGAGGCAGGAGTAACAAAATTATCCATCACTTCTCATAGTAGTGGCTAATGTGGAAAGATGACTGTCCTAAATATCAC